AATATCCTTTCTTCTGCTTGGTTGATTCGGCTATTGAAACTTGTGTATGCTTCACGAAGTTCTTGTGCTGTGTTTTTCAGCTCCATCAAGTAATTTATATTCTTCTCTAAGCTGTTTATGCTAGTTAGCATCTCATCTAACCTTTTTTCAGGGTTCTTAGTTTCTTTGCATTGGGCTATCACATTTTTTTTAGCTCTCAGAAGTTTGTTATTACCCACCTTCTGAAGGTCTGTTTCTGTATATTTATTAGATTCATTCTCCATCCGTCTTTGATCCCTAGCTGGTGAGGAGTTGTGATCCTTTGGAGAAGGAGAGGCTTTCCGGTTTTTGGTGTTTTCATCCTTTTTGCGCTGCTTTCTTCCCATCTTAGTGGCTTTATCTACCTGTGGTCTTTGTAGTTGGTGACTTTTGGATGTGGTCTCTGAGTGGACGTCCGTTTTTTTGATGATGAAGTTATTTCCTTGTTTCTTAGTTTTCCTTCTAACAGGCCCCTCTGCTGCAGGACTGCTGGAGGTCCACTCCAGACCCTGCTTGCCTGGGGATTACCCGTGGGGGCTGCAGAACAGTAAGGGTTGCTGCCGGTTTCTTCTTATCTTTGTCTCAGAAGGGTACCTGCCAGATGTTGGCTTTCTGTGTTGTTCTTGCTGGGAACTGCACTCCGGAGCTGTTCCTATTCAGCCATCTTGGATCCTCCCCCCACCAGCCACATTTCACATGACCTGGGAAATAAAAGGATAACTGGGTCAGTCTCTGTTTTTAAGGCATTTATAGTGTAATAATGGGGATAAGAGCAATGTGAAATACAAATAGAAATCAAAGGACTGTAACTATTGTGAAAATGTAAAAGATCATGGGGAAGTGTGTTATCACTTACTATATAACAAAACTATCTCCATATTAAAGTAAATAAGCAGATCATTTTCTTTCTTCTACAAACATTGTGTTCTGGGTGAAGAAACATCCTGAAACATAGAATACAATCATGAGATTTTTCATCATTGAGTGAAGGTTACACAGTCGCTGGATTAAGAGTATTACACCAGCAGATAGTAATATGTGAAGGACAAAGCAGCAATAATTCACTAATCGTTTAGCAGAAAAATTAAAATATTCGGAGTTTCCATTATCAATCGTGATTTATTACATGTGTGCCATGGTGTTGAGGGAATACTTGTAGGTTTATGATAATCTAGTAAGAATCTGGAATTTTATGGGTTCTATCCCAATTAATCTTGCCTATATCCATGGAATCTTATGCTTAAAGGGTTTTGTTTTCGTTTTTGTTTTTGTTTTTCCTTTGAGATAGATCTCACTGTGTTGCCTGGGCTGGAGTGCAGTGGTGTGATCACAGGTCACTGTACCTCAATCTCCTAGGCTTAAGGAAGTCTCCCACCTCAACCTCCCAAGTGGCTGGGACCACAGGCACATGCCACCATAAACAGCTTATTTTAAAAATTTTGTGTAGAGACAGGAGCCCACTATATGTTGCCTAGCCTGGTCTCAAACTCCTGGGCTCAGGGAATCCTCCTGCCTTGGCCTCCCAAAGTATTGAGATTATAGGCATGAACCACCAGGCCAGGTCTTTAAAGAGATTCTGAGACCATAACTATTTCATTGGTTTTAAAAGTATGTATAATGTCTGTGGCCATACCACCCTGAACATGCCCAATCTTGTCTAAAACTATGTATAGTATATGTATATTAATATCCATAATAGCTATAATCTGATCATGTGTAGAAGACTTAGTACATTTTGTCCATCCCTGTCCTGCCGTATCATCCTACTTTAAGCCATTAATTATTATCACTTGCATATGACAAAAAAAAAAAAAACTAGCTGGGAATTTCAGAATTGTTCCTTGATGAACAATAGCTCTGCTTTGTTTGTAATTAAATGGGGGAGCACTACACTCACTGCTTTATATCTCCTCCTCCAGTAGCTGGGTATATGTTACATGATTTATACCCAAATTGTTCATTTATTCAGCAAATATTTATTGAATGGCCACTCTGCTCATGCACCACTGTAGGTACTGAGCTTACAAAAGTGAACAAAATGGTCAAGGTCACTGCATTCATTGAGCCTATCTTCTAGTGGTAAGAGGCAGAAAATAAGCATGTAATTAAAGAGGTACAATTACTATTACTTTATATTTGCTTACATACTATAAATAAAATAGAGTAATGGGGTAGAGCACCCTGTTTCACAGCTATAAGTTTAATGCAGTGCATTCATCATATATTTGAGCATACATTCTTATTGTCTGTTTTGTTCAATGTTATTTTCTCAGTGCCTAAAACAGTACATGGTAGCTTCTCATTATTTGTTGAATAAATTGATTAGTTGTGTATTGTGCCATTGTTCTTAAATAGTGTGAACACATTTAACTTTCTACTTAGGGGACTGGGAATTTCAAAAAGATGTCTTAGAGATTTAGGGGTTCTTTCAGATCTGTTTGGGCAGAAGAGAATTCTGCATGCCCAACTTGGTTGAGCTTCAGTCTTATATCCTCCAGTGGAGTAGTATGTGGGAAGCACAGAACTCTGGGATGCTGTGAAAAATCTTGAATTTTATGTGTGGGTAATCGATGGGTGTACATAATGCGTTTAACATAGGAGGTAGGTAACTTTCATCAAGCTTTTAATTGCTACTTGAATCTGAGAGTATTTCTGAATCCATCTGTCTAAATGGGCCTTCATTTTGTTTTTAAGCAAACTTTTTGAAGAACTAGCTCAATGATAGGAAAGGATAGACCTCTTTCAAAATTAAACATGACCATGGCTTACCCCGACTTACTACATTAGTTTGGGGGCTTGTGTGGGGTAGAGGGCAGAGACCATATCTGTGTACTGTAAAAACTTGTTAAAGCCCCCTAGATGATAACTCACACACTTCTTTTTCAACTAGAAACACAATTGCATATTTTCATTTATTTAAATATATATATACATTTAATGTTTATATACCATCATGGACCCTTAATGACAGGATATGTTTGGAGAATTGCACCATTAGGCAGTTTCATTGTGTGAACATTATAGAGCATACTTACACAAACCTACATGGTGTAGCCTACTAACGCGCCTAGGCTACAAACCCATACAGCATGTGACTATACTGAATACTGTAGGTAATTATAACACAATGGTAAGTATCTGTGTGTTTAAACATATCTAAACATAGAAAACATGCAGTAAAAATATGGTATTATAACTTACGGGACCACCATTGTAAATGTGGCTTATCATTGACCAAAATGTTATGTAGCACATGCCTGTAGTTCCTAGTAATTCAGTGTATTTTAAAAAGTTTTGAATTATGAGGACCATGGATTTGCTTTATTTCTCCTTTAAAATATTTCATTATTGTGACTTATAAAGTAATTTAAGATAATTTTTTGTCTTATGGTTAGAGCAACAGAGGAGAACAAGACACTTAAAATAATTAAACATGTCCTTGTTTGTGTACTCTGGAGGTAACTCCTGAATGAAAGTAGGTACCTGAGGACCAGTTATAGTTATTAAAATTTTAAGTTTAAGTCTTTATTGAACAGTCTGAAATTTGGTTAAAACAGGCCCCAATTGTTCTTCAATTGTTTGTTAATCCTTTATATTAGATGATATAACAGTTATATCATACAACTGTTATATCATCTAATATAAAGGATTAACAAACAATTGAAGAACAGCAATTTTTTTCTTTTTGCTTTCTGGTGGGTATTTCAAAATATTCCCAGGTATCCCCAGTTGTCTTATACCCTGTTTATGTTTAAGAAAAAACTGATGAGTAGTGAAGAATTCTACCCATTGAGCATTATTATCTCTTAGAATATGCACTACATTTCCGTTTTGGAAACTAGATAATTATCATAAGCCTTCACCATACCTGAGCAAAAGGTACGTTAAAAGGTATGTTAACATACCTACTTTGTTAGCCTGCATGTATGAAATAATATAGCAAAAGTAGAGTACAGTGATGCCTATGTGTGTTGCCTCAATGGCCTGTTGAAAAGAAAATGAAACATTATTTTTAGTGAAGCTGTTTAAGTTCTGTGCTTAATGAGCATGCTGACAGTACATTTAACTTGCTTATGGGTTACAAGTCAGAAGTAGGGCTAAAAGTAAGCTACCTTTAAATATTACTTTAATTTATATCATATTGTCTTTCATTATCTGCGTACTGAAGCCCACAAATGGAAGAACATTGCTACAAAGTCTTAAATTTAATTCTGTAACTGAATAATTCTCTGAGAATTTGCTGTTCTTTATTATGTTTAATAAAAGTTTCAAAAATTTTTTGCTCAAAGCTATAGGAAGAAAAAAATTGTAAGCATTCTCACAAGAAGGATAAATAATTATCTTTTTTAACCTAGTGTTCAGAATCAGGTGGATGAAGTTATTGATGTCATGCAAGAAAATATTACAAAGGTAATTGAGAGAGGGGAGAGACTAGATGAACTACAGGACAAATCAGGTACAGATCTTCATGTATTTCTTGATATTATTAATCTGTGTTTGCTAGTTTATGTCTTCTACTTGTCTAGCCAGTGTTTACAAATTTTGGCTTAGGAAATTGGCATTTGGTTCTTAAATGTATGATTTTACTGGTTTAATTTTAACTCCTTTGCTTTGAAGAGTTTAAAATTTCATTGTTGAAGAGTGAAGAGTAGAGCTGTTTTTTCCTTTGCCCTGTAATGTTGATGTACTTTGTGTTTCTCATGATCTCAGGGCCTAAAGACTTATCACTTTTCAACACTTGTTTCTAACTTATCTGATATTTTTATTATATGCTTTATTTGATAACTTAGTCACCTTTCTTTACTTTTAGTAGTTACACCTGTAACCTATACCTACACCTGGCACATACTTGGCACTCAAATATTGTTTGAATGGTGAATGGCTGGTTAATCTTTTACAGACTTAAAGAAAAGAAACCTTGCTTAGTCACTTTTAAAATGTATTTTGTTTTCCTTTAAAATCAGTCACTGTTGATATCTAAGAACCTAACCTTTTCCGCATGTATTTTTTTTTTCTAGAGGTGTGCCAAGTATTTGAATTTTTAAAGAGTATTTTCTTACTAAAATTCCTAAATTTATTTGTAAGCATTGAGGCCCTAAAAAGACTTTTCTTAATTTTACTATAAAAAAATGATCACACAAACTGATCTGCAGGCTGTTTATTGCTTTTGTTTTTTTGTTTTGTTTTGTTTTGTTTTACAATGTATAATGCCAGAGTTTGTGGGTGGAAAAAAGGGAGAATGTTGTTTTCATGCTTAAAAGGGAATCAATTTGCAGAAGTAGAAATTAATATTTTCTTATCTTTGTGTGACTAGATAAAAGAATCCTGTTATGTCGTTTAATCCTTCTCTCCATCCTCTATGTGATATAGAAAGCTTATCGGATAATGCAACAGCTTTTAGCAACAGATCCAAACAACTTCGAAGGCAAATGTGGTGGCGTGGATGCAAAGTAAGTAAATCAGAAGATACTGGGTAGATTGAATACCACTTCAGATGCCGACCAAACACATGAAGAAAAAAGGGCCTCTAGAGCATAACCTCTGTGAGAACAGGACCTATAACTGTCCTGAGACACTCACTAAATACTTGTTAACTTAATTGCTTTGGGGACAGAGATAACTAAATAAGTATGCCTAAAAGGATATTTTCATAGATTTTTTTTTCATGAAAATACTCTAGATTAATAACTTGGTTACCACTAGACTTACTAACTTGTAACAAATACACATTTTTCCTTATAATTTACTCTTAGTACTTTTTTGGAGCAACATCTATAGCATTATGTAGAGCTATCAAAAAAATAAAGTGGAATCTAGAGAAAAATATGACTTTTGGTTGAAGGGGGAAAAAATAAAAGCAGCTTACATATCAGAATCTGTTAAGGCAAATAGAGTTAAGAAAAAATTCCACTTCCCTCATTATTCCAGAAAAACAAAAAATAAATTCGTAACAAGAAAAGCATTGAGAATCACTACATACTAATATACTTCTGCAAAGCATTTTATAGAAATAAAATTTACTTGTTAATCAAGTGTGGCTACTAATCAGTCATTAATAGAAAATGGTTTTCATGTTATGTGAGCAAATCTTTTTTTTTCTCCTGATTCTAGGTATAATTTTTGGCTTTGTTGAAAATTTAGACATGAACTTATTGTTTTTAGTCTTTCGTTTTCCAATTTAGCTATAACTTTCTAAACCTGACTTAGCTATATGCTAAGGATTTTTTTCCAAGATTTACCTTGGATTTATTTCTTTTTATCTGTCTACCTATTGAATCATCCTACTTCCAGAAGTAGAACTCAGGAAAGAAACATGTTTCATTTCTCCCCTTGTTCAAAATTTAAATTTTCTATTCCATTTTAAATTATTTATTATTTAAATAAATTT